AAAATAGAAATACCATTTGACCCAGGATCCACTCCTAGGAATTTACCCTAAGAATGCAGCAGCCCAGTTTGAAAAAGACAGATGCACCCCTATGTTTATCACAGCACTATTTACAATAGCCAAGAAATGGAAGCAACCTAAGTGTCTATCAGTAGATGAATGGATAAAGAAGATGTGGTACATATGCACAATGGAATATTATTCAGCCATAAGAAGAAAACAAATGCTACCATTTGCAACAGCATGGATGGAGCTAGAGGGTATTATGCTCAGTGAAATAAGCCAGGCGGAGAAAGACAAGTATCAAATGATTTCACTCATCTGTGGAGTATAAGAACAAAGAAAACACTGAAGGAACAAAACAGCAGCAGAATCACAGAACCCAAGAAGGGAAAGCGACTGAGGAGGATGGGTGGGAAGGGAGGGATAAGGGGGGGAAAAAAGAAAGGGGGCCTTACGATTAGCTTGTATAAAGGGTGTGGGCATGGGGAGGGCTGAGCAACACAGAGAAGACAAGTAGTGATTCTACAGCATCTTACTACGCTGATGGACTGTGACTTTAATGGGGTATGTGGTGGGGACTTGATGATGGGGGAAGTCTAGTAACCATAATATTCCTCATGTAATTGCAGATTAATACCAAAAAAAAAGTGGTTTGGGGACACCCAGCTCTCCAGAAACATTGCATACTTCATACCACCCCCAGATTGCAAATCTTCATGTGCTAAAAATAAGCCATTCGTAGAATAAAGCATAAAACAAAATGGTGAAATTGTAATTTGGCTTTCCTAAACAATGCACAAAATCCAGAAATGTTACAAGATTGACAATTTTAACCATGGAAGTTGAAAAGGGGAAGGGAATGGGAATGAGCAGGCTGGCAAAGGAGAACTTGGATTATTTTCTAGTCTTTGTTATTCCTTACATCTGACAATAAGAATTTACCAGGGGACCAAATTGCTTACAAGACTGAGAAAAGTGGAAAATATGCATGAGTAGTTAACTCTGAGCCATGGCCTTTCATTGGTTGATCGCCAGGGAGTGAGCTCCCCTTAGTACTTGAACAGTAAGACAGCCCTTCTCTGGGGTTTAGAGTTGCTCCATGGGAGCAAGCACCACCCAGGGCCGCCCTCTGTGCGATGGTTGTCCACAGAAACATTCACTTGGGAACAGCTTTCTGGAGGTGGTGGGATTTGAGCGGGGCCTGCAGAGTGGGGAAAATTTCTGTGAGTGGAAGACAAGGAGCTTCCAGGTGAGGTAGGCTCAGGCCGGCAGCCCCATCTGTCCCAGGACTGTGCACCCACACCCAGCTGAGCCGCCTGGCAGTGGGGGTCAGCTCTGCACAGGCCCCCATCTGGGGCACCGAAGTGAAGGGACTGAGCAGATCTGTGTCAGGTTTGGAAATTGGTATTAGGCCTGAAAAGGTCAAAGGGTCGAGAATATAGTACTGGGGCTGGGAGCAGTGATGTGACTGGCCTGAAGGCTCTGCCTGTCTAGGCTCTCTGGTGTGGACAGGGTGACAGTTTGCCCAAGAGACCAATGGGTTTATGGCTGACACCACAGGATTAAACTAAGGTGCTCAATCAGGAACATGTGGGCATGCCAGGCCCCACAGAGGTGACCACAGCCTGCGGGCAGGGCCACATCTCGGTTCTCACCACCCCCTGGACAAGAGAACACTCTCCCCCGGCCTGTGGCTCTAACCCTAGAGCACCAAGCTACTCTTACCCCAGGTCCAAGCTCAGCACAGGGGAAGACAGGGCACAAAGCACTGTGATCACCCTCCCAGCTCATCCGACAGCATTTGGGTGGTTTGCCTTCTGTGAAGGAGCACAACAGGAAAGCAATTTGGAGCGAGGCTGTGTGGAAAGAACCAGGGAGATGGTAGTAGGAGTGGTTGGAAGGGGTCAGGTGAAGGTCAGGATGAGAAGCCCCCGGGATTTCCTGATGGGCTGGAGATGGAGAGCAGAACCACAGACAACTCTGCCTTTGGCCTCAGCAGCTGGAGGTCAGTTGCCGTTAATGTGCACTCGGGTGGGTGTGCACATGCGTGTGTGTGCATGTGAATGCTTTTGTGTGTGTGCACATGTGCTTCAGAATTCACTTTATACATATTTGTGATGTTAGGCATTCAACAGAAGATGCAAAGTGGGCAGCTGGACATACAGGGCTGGAGTTTAGGGAGGTTTCTAGGTCTGGGCTGTAGATTCTAACATGGGGCTTGCTTGTGAGGCAGAGGTGGCATGGAAGGTCACCTCAGGGACGGCAGCAGGTAAGGGATGGGTCACTCTGGGCCTGGCTCTCGGCCCCCTGCTGGCCTTCCTGCTCATGGGTCCTCTTCCCAACTTCAACTGCATTTCCCACCCCTCAGCTGGGGAAAGGGGCAGGGGTAAGAGCCTTCCTCCTAAGGAGTAACCAGGGCCCCCTGATCCTTCCCGGGGCCTGGCCTATGGAGCTGTTACCCACAGACAAGGCTGGGAAAGGATCACACTGAAGCACAGCCTTGCAGACGGGAAGACCTTGTCACTGTCACTTTTGGTGTCTTGAGGGAGGGGCCTGTTGCCCCATGTCACCCCGCAGAGGTAGGCTGGGAGGAGGAAGTGAGGCTGGGCAGCAGAGAGTCCCCAGCCCAGCTGCTCCTCAGCCTGCTCACATGTGAAGACTTCCTGTGATGAGAACAGAAACACAGGTGCTGTCCCTATCGCGACAGCCCCTGGAGCCTGGGCCAGGGGGGACCATGAACAGGCCCTGGGCCCTGGGCCTGCTCTGGGTACTGCTGATGCTCTGCATCACTGCAGGTGAGTGGAGGGCCAGAGAGAAACAAAGGCCACAGGGCAGGGTGGGGGCCCAACCCAGGCCCCTCTGACGCCTCTCTCCCACAGGGACCCCCGAGGTGTGGGTGCAAGTTCACATGGAAGCCACCAAGTCCCCATCCCTCACCATCCGCTGTGGATTCCTGGGATCTGGCTCTATCTCCCTGGTGACCGTGAGCTCCGGGGGGCGTGATGGTGCTGGAGGGACCAGGCTGGCTGTGTTGCACCCAGAATTCGGCACCCAGCAGTGGCCACCTGCCCGCCAGGCCCACTGGGAGACCAGGAGCAGCATCTCTCTCTTGCTGGAGGGAGATCCTAACAGGGGGAGCCCCAGCCCCAACACCACCTTCTGCTGCAAGTTCGCCTCCTTCCCGGAGGGCTCCCAGGAGGCCTGTGGGTGCCACGGCCTCAACACAGACCAAGGTGGGGCTAATGAGGAGAGGCCAGGGAGGGCAGGGAGGGCTCCCAGGCACTGCCGCCCTCTGGTCTGCCTCTCTCTGTGCGCAGGGCTCCCCACCCCAACTGCGACTCCCATCGTGCGGGCTGACCTGGCCGGGATCTTGGGGGTCTCCGGGTTCCTCCTCCTCGGCTGTGTCTACCTCCTCCACCTCCTGCATCGGCAGAGGCACTGGTGAGAGCCAGCCCCCCCAGCCCAGTCTAAATCCCCACCGGGCCAGCCACACGCTGTGCCCCTGACCCTCCCTCCTCTCCCAGGTCTGTCATGAAGCTTCAACCACTCCTCACCATCCCCCAGACACCAGGACAAGCAAGGGTGAGAATCGGGTGTGTTTGGAGTGAATGAAATTGGCTAGGGCTGGGGGGTGCCCAGTGGTGCAGCCTCACTTGGGCTGCCTTCCCTATCCCTCTACAGGGTGCCAGCCAAACCGCCAGGGACTCTCTCCACGTCCCCCATGTATCCGGCAACACTTACTTTGGCCCCACAGCTCTGGGCCCGGCCCCCCCGCCCCAGCCTCAGGCTCAGTGGGAGCTTCTCCCTGGCTCCACGGTGCCGGTGCCGGCTCGCTTGTCCCCGCTGCCGGCCTCTGTGCGCAGCAGCTTCATCTACGTGGAGAATGGACTCTATGCTCAGGCAGGAGAGAGGCCTCCTCACACTGGCCCCAATCTTATTGCTCCCCATGACCGTCTGCAGCCCAGAGCCAGAGAGGAGCCAGCAGGACTTTGATAAGAGGGACCCCCAAGACCCCCTGGCCTTTCTCTGTGCACAAGCCTCTGGCACCCCTCCTGTTAGGGGTCTGCTTCCAGGCCACCTGCAGTCTTTGCACATCTTGTTTAACTCTTAGGCTCCACACATACCCAGGCAGGGCCCACTCACTGCGGATGTGGTGTAGGTCCACGTGGGCACATGTGTGTGGCTGTGAAGTGACAAAATCCATCCTAGGTGGTTTCCTGTTTTCAAGCCCCCAGCCCTCCCAGGTGATGTTAATGATTAAGTCAACAAAAATGGTTTCTCTGCTGGGGCCACAGCTGGGCCTTTTCTTCTTTGGGGGTTAAGAGGTTAGAGGCAGTTTCAACCCCTGGGAGGCAGGTTAGAGCTGGAGGGGGATGGGGCCTCAGCCAGATCTCCCCTCACCCTGACTCCCAACAGGGGCTCCTGGGGCAGGGTGGGCTGTCAGTCAGGCGGACCTTGCTGAGGGACATCAGTGGTTGGGAAGACAGATTGGGGGTCTAGTGTCCCCCAGGCAGGGTGGCACACATTCAAAACTCATAACATCCCAGCCTGGCAGCAAGGGCTTCAGGGGCTTCAACCTGAGAAAAGGCCTCTGAGGTCTGACCTGGCATTGCTATGACAGCAGCTTCCTGAGATGGCCTGGGAGGACGGCCCTGATGCCCTCCTTCCACAGACTGACATCAGAGGAAGGAGACCCATCTCAAATCTGTCCACAGGCTTCCTCTGGCTCCTTTCCTAGGACCACACCCCACTGGCCAGCCCGGGCAGGTAGAGGCCTGCTGGACACAGGGAGCGAATGCACCCTCTGCCCCATCTTCCCATCCAGGAGCCAGCCCTCCTTCTGTAAAGAGGCCCAGCAGCCTGGGCCTCACCATGCCTTGGCCACATAAGAATATGGTGAGACCTCTGTAAGCTGCAAGGCCGCACAGGATGGTGGCAGCTTCTGGGTGGAAGGGGGTGGTGTGGGCCTGAAGTCAGGCCCAGGCTGCACCCTCAATCAGGGCAAGTACTAGTACAGCAGAGGGGACACCTGCCACTCACCCCCTTCCTTGGTTCTGCATGTGGGAAATCCCAGTCAGTGCCACCTGCTAAGCCAGGAACCACCCCATTCTGCCTCAGGAGGGCCTGTCCAGAGGTTGTGTCCAACCACAGAATCTTCTGGAAACCCAGTTTACTATTGCAGGCATGCTCTGATGTGGCCTTCTAAGGACCCAGCCCCATCCAGCCACCAGCTGTACACTGCACTGGGGAGAGGGCACCAAGGAGGTGAGGGGTGGGTGAGAGGTCATGGGGTCTGCCTTCCTCAGCCAGCAGGATCATCATCCTCTGAGAAGCCCTGGCCAGTCAGCTCAGCAGTCCCTGCAGGGGCTCAAGGGAGGGAGGAAGGGGGTGTGGCAGAGGTCCCCAAGGAGGGTCAGGGGCACTCAGTGAGGGAGGGAATAGATCAGGACTGCAGCTTTGGTACCGTGTTCAGGACCAGGGACAGGGGTATGGGGGCAATGGCCCTGCAGGGTCTCTTGGGAGGCTCCCTGGGAAGGAATGTCCTCCAGACAAGGAAGGGAGCTGTGAGCGGTCCCCAGCCCCAGCCCCGCTCCCAGCCAGGGCTACTTGCCCATCATGGAGTCAGAGAGAGCCCCCCTGGTCTCGACTTGTCTTCCACAGTCTAAGGAGGCCCCAGCCCACCTTGGTCCCCGTGGTACCTGAAACCACAGCCTCGGGACCCAGGAAGTCTCTGCAGTGGGCCTGCCCCTTAGTCCCCCACCGCCGAGTGCCAGAACCAGCAGCGTTGTAGGGACCAGCGAGGGTGCGGGGCTGTGGAGGCGTACGGGGGGCAGTAGTGGGGGGCCCTCTTCTCCGGTCCCAATCTTAGGCATCAGGCTCTACTGTTTTTTCATTCAACACGTGTGGAAATTGGGGCTCGAAAGAGATGATTTGCCCAAGGGGACGGGACTGAATGAGCTCCAGCACCTCCACCCGGCATCTGGGACATTCCCTCAGCCATCATCCTAGGTAAGACTTGAGCTCGAACTGACCGGAGTTTGCATCCCTGGGGCGGCTTCCGACTGTGGGACAGTGAGCGGCTCACTTAACCTCTTCGAGGCTCTCTTTGTTCATCGGTTACGTAAGGTGACAAGGCCGGAGGGGAGCGTGAAGATAGGAAATCAGGACCAAGTACTAAGCAGCTTTGCACGGAGTAGCTTCTTTAGGACTCGGGACAACCCCAGGGTGTCTTCAGTAAGGCTGTTTAGCAGACAGGCAGCCCGAGCTGGAGGCGGAGGCACTCTCAGTAGGGAGGACAGGAGGCTCAGGACCACCAGCCGGGGCTTGGCCTCCTTCGCTGCTCCGCGGCTCTGGCGCGGGCTTGCTGGGCGGAGGGAGCCCGGAGCCCAGGGACCTGCGGCCGCCACCAGGTGGCGCTGCAGCGGAGGGGCCCGATGGCGCGGCCGCCCGAGAGTCTCTGGAAGTCCCTCTGAGAATATGCGAGCCCTGCCGAAGATAAGACCGTCCGCGGAGGCGCTGCGGGGGTCGCGGGGGGAACGCAGAGTTGTGACCCACCTGCACCCGCCACCCCCAGGCTGCCTTCCCCAATCCCGCAGCCCTGTCCTCTCCCACCAGCCCACCTCGGGGCTGGGACTCGTGCTCACCCCTCCCCAGGTGGCCCTCAGGCCCCTCACCCCGTGACTACCTCCACCCGCGGTCAGCTGCTCCTCCTCCTAACCCCACCCCACTGCGTCCAGCACCCACCCTGACCGTCTGCCCCTCGGCGACCCCAGAGCCCTCCTTCCACAGTCCAGCCCCCACCACCTGCAGCTCTCCCCAGACCCCACGCCGGGATTGGTCCCCGCCCCCTTCCCAGGTTCCTGCGGCTGCCCATTGAACTGCAGCTCCCCCCAGCACCTCCATACTCCCTGTGGCCCACGACCCGTCCAGGCTGCCCTGCCTCTCTCAGCTGCCACCACCTCTATTGCTCCGTGCCACGCGTGGCCAAGGCGCCAGGCATCTGCCTTCCCCTCTTGCAGGCCCTTGGGGGCTGGCCAGGAAGAGCCACGTGCCTAATGGAGCACTGTAATCTGGGCACCACGACCACCCCTGGCCAGGTGTATGACCTCGGGCTGCCCAAGGAGCCTCAGACCCTTGCAAGGTTCCCTGCATGCCGAACGATATCATGGTCTTGCCCCGAGACCCGTGTGGCATCCATCCTTCTGCGGACCTCAACAGTAAATGACAGTAAAGGACTTAGAAGAAACCGAACCCAGGGGTGTCTGATGGCTTAGCCAGCAGGACGTGGGGAAAAGGGATGAGCTGGGGATTAAGAAGGAGCCAGAATTGAGCTAGGAGAATCTGCCTCCTTCCTGTGCTTTGGGCCTCTCCTTGGGGAAGCAGCTCCCAAGAGAGAAAACCACAAGCTGTGCCCCCATCCCCAACACAAGGACACACAAATGTAAGGACACCGTGTCCGCAGGCCCAGCCCTGGTGGGGGAGGCTCTCCAACTCAGGTTCCAGTCAAGCGCAGCTGAGGGGTGGGTACAGCTGCACTTCAGCATCTGTGAAATGGGTCAGAAGCTGTGCTGTTGTAGAAAAGTAAATAAACGACACCATTACAAATGTTAAGAGAAAAAATCAGGGTGATCTGAGAAGGACTAATGGGGTCTCTCTAAGTAGATGACATTTAAAATAAAACCTGAAGTTATATGGGAATTGTCCAGGCAAAGACTGTGGGGAGACCATTCCAGGCAGGGAAAGACGTAAGCAAAGGCCCTGAGGTTAAAAAGCTTGGCACTGTTAAGGGTCCAAAGCAGGTGGATGTGCTGGAAAACAGGCGAGTGAGCAGCAGGCAAAGCCTATAGAAGGGATCTGGATTTTAATTTAAAACCCTTGGTGGGTTTTAAGCAGAGCAGTAAAATAATCAGATTGGCATTATAAAAAGCACTCTGGGCTGGGAAGGGAACCCCTGTGAGGGAGGGAGTTAGTGTAGAAGGAAGAACAATCGGGAGGCTACTGAGATAGTCCAGGTGGGAGATGGGTGTCTGAGTCAAGGATGGTGGAATGCAGATGGAAAGTGGATGGATTAAGTGTTTTGGAGGCAGAGTTGTTCCTGGCAGTGGGATTGGGATGGACTCAAAGGGAGTGATGCCTAGTTTTCCAGCCTGAGTGGTTAGGAGGAGAAATGCCATTTGCTGAGGTGGAACACTGAGAGGTGGATGTTCCAGGGAAGAGGTGACAAAGGACCAATAAAGGCAGCTTAAGATGCGGAGACACAAGTGAGGTGCAGGCATATCAGTGCCTCCTCAGAGCCCAGGCAGCATCTGGAGTGAGAACTGTATGCAGAATATTGCTGAGCAAAATCAAAGCTCTAAATATATGGTGAGATATCCCATGTTTAGAGATCAGAAGGCTCATTGCTAAGAGGTTATTTCTCCACAAATTGATCTACAGAATCAAAACAGTCTTAATCTATACTCCAGCAGGCTTCTTTGTAGAAACTGACCAGCTTTTAAATTTTACTTGGAAAAACAAAAGTGCCTGGAAAAGCCAAAACAATTTTGAAAAAGAAGAACAAAGTTGGAGGATTTACACTGTTGGATTCAAAACTATGTAAAGCTAAGGTAAGCAAAGTGGTGACGTTTAGGGGAAAGAATAGACATAGATCCATGGAGCAGAGGAAAGTCCAGAAATAGACCTCCCCTCCCCGCATATATATAATCAGCTGTTTTTTAACAAAGGTGCCAAGATAATTCAATAAGGAAGAATAGTTTTTTTAACAATTGGTGCTAAAATAATTGAATATCCATTTGCAAAAAAATAAAAATGACCTTCTGACCATACTTTCCATTTTATGTTTTAAAAACTTAAAATAGATTATAGACCAAATATTAAACCTAAAGACTATAAAACTTCTGGAAGAAAAAATAAGAGAAAAATCTTTGTGACCTTGAGTTAGGCAAAGATTTCTTAGCTCCAACACCAAAACCATGACCCATGAAAGGAAAATTTATAAACTGGACTTCATCAAAATTAACAGCTTCTGCTCTTCAAAAGATACTATTAAGAAAATAAAAGGATTAACTACAGGGGGAGAAAGTACTTGCAAAACACACACCTGATAGAAGACCTATAAGTATATGTAAAGACTTCCCAGGGCTCAGTAATAAAAATCCCAAGTTTTAAAAATTGGACAAAAGATTTGAACGGATACTTCATCAAAGAAGAATTAACAGGTGACAAATAATTACATGAAACAAAGTTCAAAATCACCAGTCATTAGAAAAATGTTGATTAGAACCAGCAGGATACAACAGCAGGTGAGGATATAGAGCAACTGAAGCTCTCATACTTAGCTGATGGGGCTTCAAAGTGCTTGTACCATTTGTTTTGGTTGTACCGAAAACATTTTGGCTGTTTTTTATAAACATAAATACATATGTACCATATGACCCAACAACCTCTCACCCTGGAGAAATTAAAACGTGTTCTCACACAAATCTGCACACTTATGTTCATAGCAGCTTTATTCATAACCACCAACAAACTGGGAAACAAACAATCGTCCATCAACTGATCAACTGATGGGTGGATAAGCTAGCTGTGGTATTGCCTACATATCGCATCCACACAGTGTAATACCACTCAGTGGTCAAAAGAACTACCAATACAGTAATAATGTGGATGAAGCTCAAAAGTATTGTGCTAAGTGAAAGAAGCAAAACCCAATAGGCTATGATGTCATTTATACAATATTCGGGAAAAGGCAAAATTAAATGGACAGAACTCAGAGCAGATATTGCTAGGGATGGCGGATGGGGTTGACAGGATTGATACAAGGGGCATGGAGGGGCTTGAGGGGTAATGGAGATTCTGTATCTTGATTGTGGTGGTGGCTACACAACCTTAAACTTTTTAAAAACATTGAACTCTAACACCTAAAAATGATAAATACTGTATATAACGTATACCTCAATAGACCAGGATTAATAATTTTTATAAATTAAAATTATCTAAAACAGCAAACAATAAGGTAATAGGAACAAAATGAATAAATCTAACAAAAGATAGGTAAGATCTTTTGGGAAAAAATATGAAACTATTGAAATTCATTCAGTTATACACCATGGCCATGGATAGAGACTCAATATCATAAATATGTCAGTTCTTCTCAAATTAGTCCATAAATGCATGGCATTCCAGTAAAAATTCCAAGATTTTTTTTCACAAAAAATGGCAAAGACATTCTAAAATACAAATGGAAGAGCAAAACACCTAGAATAGATAAGCTTTTGAAGAACTGAAATTAGATGAGGGACTCACATGCCAAGTAGTGATACTAATTATAAAGTTATTGAAATTAATATAATGTCACTTTGGCACAGAGATAGACAAATAGAGCAATGAGAATATAGGGCCTGGATATCAGTCCTTCCATCTGTGGAACCTTTATGGTAGAGAGGTTGCATTACAGTTCTGTAGGGAAAGAAGGCCAGGACAATTGGCTTTCATTTGGAAAAAATTAAATTCCAACTTCACACCTTACACAAAACCAATTCTAACTGGATGAAAAACTTAAAGATGAAAAACAAACTTTAAGTATTTAACAGAAAATATAGGAGACTATCTTTATGATCTTTGGAATAGGACAGGATTTCTTAAATAAGACATAAAAAATGGTGAATATGAAGATGAGATTTAAAATTTCTATAGTTCAAAAGTATTGTAAAGCCAAATAACAAGCCATGGACAAGAAGATGTTTACAGTACATATAATTGATGAAGTATTAGAATTCATCTATGGAATGGCAAAACAATTTAAAAATAGAAAAATATGCTAAAAGATATAAATACAAAAAGGAAATCCATAGAAGAGCAACTCAAAATGGTCCAAAGCATGAGAAATGTTTTTCTCCCTATTAATAAAGGACATGCCAATAAAAACAACCATTTCACACCCAACAGATTGGTAAAAATTTAAATGTGTGACTTACCAAATGTTGGCAATAATGTGAATGATGGTGGGAGTGTGTCTTGGTACTGCTTGCAGAGTAATTAGACACAATCTCAATAAGTCCAAATGCATGCACTCTGTGATCCATAAATTGCACTTTTCAGTATATACACTAAAGAAACTAGTATATCCATACAGATCCAAAGAAACATGCAAAAATGTTTATTGCAGCATTATTGAGAATACCCTAAATGTCCATCAGTAGAAGAATAGATAAATAAATGGTGGTAAATATTCACAATTAAATACTTAACAGCATTTAAAATGAATGAACTCAAGTTCACCTATCAAGGATAGGTGGATATCCATGGATAAACATCTCAACATCACAATGTACAGTTAAAAACGGTTCTGATAGAAATTCTAATGTGTATGTGTTGGGGGGATGGTTTCTCCATGTCACCAAGCAATGCCCCGACACTAGCTGGGTGTCCTGTAGTTCAACTCAATTTGAATGCTATCTACCTGCCAGATTCCACAGCTGACGCACTCAGTCCCACGAGACTCCACACAACTTCAGATGCCAACAGCAAGTTCAGGTTGTCGCCTGGGCTTTTAACCTACCAGCTATAGACTGGAGATTCCAACAATCCCTCCTTAGATCCAGTTAATTTGCCAGAAGTTCACAGAACTCAGAGAAACACTTTGCTTACTAGATCACTAGTTTTTTATAAGGATATAACTCAGGAACATCCAGGTGGAAAAGATGTACAGAACAAGGTATAGGAAAGGGGATCCGAGCTTCCATGCCCTTGAGTGACCACTCTCCCACACCTCCATGTGTTTACCAACCCAGAAGCTCTGCAAACTGTGGGTTTTTATGAAGCCTTCATTACATAGGCATGATGGATTCCATCACTGGCCATTGGTAACTGGTTCAACTGCAATCTGCTCTGTTCTCCCCAGAAATCAGGGGATGGGTTCACAAGTGGTTCCCCCTGCAACCAACCCCATCATCAGGTGCTTTGCAGAAGTCTCATCATTAACATAGACCCTGTTTTGGTGGAAAAAGGCTTATTACAAACAACACAACACCAATTTCACCTCCTAGAATATGCAGGGATTTCAGAAACTGAGGACAAGAGATCAAATATCATAACAAGGGCTTTGGGAGCTGTGAGCCAAGAACTGTGGACAAAGACCAAATGTCCATGAGGAAAGCCCAAATACGTGTTTCTTATCAATCACAATATCACAAAGTAAAAGGCAAGTTGCAAATGAATGCAGCCTGGGAAATACCTCCCATCAATCATCCAATCCCCAGGAACCCAACATAAAGCCTCAGATTTAACCAGCCTCAGAATCCATAGGAGAGCAAGACAAGAGACAAGAGACAATGCTTAGGCTGGAGCAGGATGAAGATCAGATGAGACTTGTGCAGGGAAGCCAGGAGCCCTCACACACCAGGCCCTCAGATGGTGAGCTAGAAGAGAAAGGACTGCTATGAGGAGGGAGGCAGTGGACACTGAGTCTTCAGCCATGGCTTTTAAAGAAAGAATGAAAAATTCACCCAGAGCTTCCATAATCACTCATCCACACTCTCAAGGGTTTAGGCCAGAATTCATGGTGCCTGTGAGCCTTGAAAAATACAAAGCCAAAAATATTATTTAAAGTGACCGCTGATGGGTAGCACCCCTGCATCTGGTAGATGTAAATGCATATCCCCTATGGAGGGAGGTATTTACTATGCCTCAAGGAATCCCTGCAGATGAAGTTCCAAAGAAGAGGAAATATCCATTTTTAAAAGTAATTAAGCACACCAAAGCAGGTGGCCATGAACAGGAGAACCGCAGGAACAGGCACCTCAAAGCCTGCTGATACTAGAACTATCAGACACAGATCATAAAACAATGTGTTTAAAGAAATAAAAGAAGATATTAGAAGCATGATAAAACAAGAGGATGTAAAAATGATCAGACAGATTTAGAGGGAGAGGGGGAAACACAAATAGAAAATCTAGAAGTGTAAAATATAAATATTGAAATAAAAAAGTAAATGAATAAATTAAACAGAAAATTTATTTAGTTACATTTGTGGGAGATAAAATTAGTGAGTAGGCTTCAGATAGGTCCAAAGATATTGCCAGAATGCAGCATAGAAACAGAGAGATGAAAAATACGAAGAAAAAAGTCAAACATGAAAGACAGAACAAGACAATCTGCTGTGTTTGATAACATACACTTCCCAGAGAGCAACGAGAGAAACTGGGAAATAAGCAGTATTTGAAGAGACCATGGCTAAGAAGTTTCCAGTATTGGAAGCCCAGTAAATTTCAAGCATTCATAAATTTAAAAAAGTTCACCACCAGAAACATTCTTGTAAACCTGTAAAACACCGAAAACAACAAAAATGTGTTACTAGCAGGCAAATGTAGAAACAGTATCTACAGAATAGTCACAGGTAGACAGCCAACGTCTCAATGAAACCCAACAGGAGGCACATTGTCATTGTTGAATTGTGAAG